CCGCGGTCGCAGCCGAGGGACGTGGGGTTGGTCCAGGCTGCGGCCTGTGGCGCGTGCAGGCCTGAGGAAGGCGAGATACCGCCGCCACCACCGCGGTCCGGTGGACCAGGCCCCGCGGTCCAGCCTTCCCTCCCGCCACCGCCCGTCCGGGGGTGCTCGTAGCCCGGTGCTCCCCCAACCTGCCCGCCCGCCCGCCGGGGAGTGGGAGGACGACGGCGCCCCGCCTCCGGCTAGTACGGAGAGCGCCGCCTCCCCCTCAACTCCGGTGGCCGGGAGTCGGGTGCGAGGTGCGGCCGAGGCCTCGCCCGGGACCGGCGTTTCCTCCCGTTTCTCTTGACGAGGGGAGGGGCGTCCTCGCCCCGATAGGCGTCCCCCACCCCTGGCGCCTGGGGAAACCCCTTCGCTGACAGCGCGCTGGTGCTTTCCCGGGGATTGGGAGTCAGTTCCTCTTCCCGGGCTGCAGCAGTGTTTCTCGGGCCGGAAAACTAACTTGTGTCGGTGCCTGGCTCCCCGCGCTGCCTGCCTGCTCCCTGAGCGGGACGCAGAGTGGCGCCCGGGCGCGGAGCTCCCTGCCGCTCTGCTGGGACGCATTTGTCTTTCGCCCAAGGCGCGGGTGTTAGATTTGACACTCCCTGGCTTTTGAGGATTTAGCTAGGAGCCTCAGAACATTAGTTACCGTGAGCCGCGCCGCTTGGAAGGGGCCGCGGTCACTGCTTCTGCACTGACCAAGCAGTTGTAGGGGCAAGAGCGTTCTGGTTCCCCAACCTGACTCGCCCCCTCCCTCCCGTGAGCCGTTGCAGGCACCTAGTACCTCGCTCCTGAGACTTGGATACCCACCTCCTCCCGGCCAGTGGTTCAGAGCCACGGACAGGCTGAGGAGCCTTCGGAGTCTTTTGCAAAAAAAAGATCAACATTGCATCCATGTGATCTTCTTATTAACTTTCCTTCTGGAAAGTTAGGATGTTGAGTGAAAAGGCTTGTGGAGTCCTTTCAAGAGTAAGAATCTTAGGGGGAGGTTCCCTTATCAGTCCTTGTTTATGTCAGGACTTAATTTGTAAATTTCAGTATTTGGATAGTTTTTACTGCAGAGGAATCTCCTGTTGTACTATCTGGAGTGGATTCCCATCTAAGTTGATGATAAAAAGTGTCGTTTTCCTTTGCAGTGTATTGGCGGCTCTCATGGAGTGAGTGATGGTGACCTTTTTCTAATTTTGCTGAGGGTTTATTGACAAAGGATAACTGAATATTTGCAGTTGTCTGTAAATATTTGAAATCATCACATGGCCTTTTACATAGTGCTAGAAATGTTAGTCTTCGTTTTCTGGAAGACAAAATTGCCATGTTTAGAATGTCCTGTAGTTTAGATGATGAGTTTTTTAAAGAGATGGTGAAACATCATTCCCATCTCTTGAGATATTTTATCAATGCTGATATGTAAGTAAGGTACAGTGCCTCTTTAATTACAGTGAGGTGGCGATATCTTTTTGGTTCAACTTATTTAGTGAAATTTGTCAGTGGACCCAGTGCAATTGTATAATTTACCAGATTTAAGATTTACCAACATAATTAAAATTAAAATGAATTCTTAGGTATCAGGAAAGCAAACTCTTTTTATTAACTTTCCAGGCAAATAGTAATCTAAGTGATTTAAGGTATAGCATATAAAACAGAAAAGTGTAAATGAGGGACTATTGCATTTCTTTAATTAAAGCTAATCTAAGAGCTTAAGAAATCCAGTCTTAGAAGACCTTCTTGATTAGGGAAGACTGACCAGGTACTCAGATGCTGATTCCTGAGTTTCTTCTCTCCCTTGCAGTTCATTTACTGTGATTATGATTGCAGACACTTCCAATTCATTTTGAGAACCTTGCTTTTCTTTAATGTTAATCTGGAATTGTTTTGGATCTCTTTAAATGTCCTGAGATTGGCTAGAACATCCAGTTTACCAAATGTAAGTTCTGTTTGTGTTCCATCAGGCTTTTTATGCTCCATCCACCCTGTGCAATTTTTTGTTTTGTATTATTACTGTTCCAGACATTAAAGTCTGTTACAACCTGCTCCTTCATTACAGGGAGTATTTCTTTGCTTTAATATTTCCCACCTGTGGAGTCAAGACAAGAGAAACATGTTCTTAGCTTCATCCTTGTACCTGAATCTCTTGTCCTATCTTTGAGGTGAATGATGTAGAAAAATGACCTTATTATCCCAATCATATTGTGTTATTTTTTTCTTTGATTTATTCAAATATTTTTGAGTTTCTACTGTGTACCATGTTTGGTGCTAATTGTTAAGGAAACATTCCTTGTCTTTAACCTCAGAGACCTTATAGTCTAATGAGAAGAAAACACATTGATCTAGCCTCCACAATATATAAATAAAAATTGTGCTACATGCTATGAAGGAAAACCATAGGGGACCAGAAAACAGAGGAGCTGTTTTCTGAAGAAATGACTTGGAGTTGAAATCCAAAGATTTGAAGAAGAGTAGTTGTTGATCTGGGGATGGGACACTCCTGAAAATAGCAGTGTGTACCAGGTCCTGAGGCAGGGGAAGGAAGGAACTGGAAGATGGATGTAGTTGGAACATGGAGGGTGAGGAGATAGGTGTAACAATACCACAAAGGTAAGGATGTATATTGCAGACATGGATTTAGATCTTAAGAGGAATGGGAGGCTATATAAGGATGTAATTTAGGGAAGAGACATGATTACATTTGTGTTTTGAGGGACTACTCTGACTGCCTTCGGGAGATACCCTTTGGTCTATAGATAATTAAGAGTTCCATTGTTACAGTAGTTCATGTGACATATGACTTTGCTTGAATTGGTAATGAAGAAAGTGAATTGATTCAACAACTATTAAAGATGCAAAATCATCAGGATTTGGTGATTGGATGTGGAAGTGAAGATGGCAGAAGGTCTAGGATGATAGATTGTTACATTATAAAAAGTTATAAAGACAAAATTTATTCATTCTATTCTATTTTATGGTTATGAGAAGGCTTATTTTTTAGGCATTGTTCTCTGTATTTTAAGGTCATCATTTATTAAGACCATCTATTTAGACATGCAAAGTGCAAAAAGTTTCTTTAATAAATTATAATAGGTCTCAGACTGACACCATTTCCCCCAGGTTTTAGGCCTGAATGAGTGTTTGAAGTTGAATCATAATCACTGAAAGAAAGTAAAGGAAATTTAGCCTCAGTGGTTCTATTAAAACCCTCAGTACTGATTGGGCTTTTGTGTAAACTCATGATTTGTTGGGAGTTGCTCTGGACTCTACGTACCTTTAAGTCCTGAATAAAGGAGTATGGAACAGTTGTTGCATCCCATTTTCTGGAGCCGCTCTGGAAATACACACCCTTAAGTCCTCTGTAAGAGATACTGAACAATTATGGCGCCTTGCAGTAACTTGGGCTTTATCTCCACTGGGATAATGAGGTGTGGCTCCAAGAGTAGGTGTTACCCAGTGGGATTGAATTACACTCACCTGTTCCTTTGTAATCCTACCCCTTTGCCCTTTTTTGGATAGAATGTTCCATGGAACCTCCCCTTGTGTGTCCCCTATATAAGAATAAAGAATTCCAGCGGCTCTCTCTTTCCACTGACCCCTAAGTTCACAGAGCCATCCCTGGATTTTGAAAAGGTACTTATGTGTGTGTGCATGCTTTCTTCGGTGTTTTCTTAAGTTATTGGAATAGTCAGATTTTGTGAATGCAGCATTAAGTTGTTACCTAGGGTAGATGATGATAATGATTCTCTGTATATTCAAATGATACTTTGGCCAAACCATTAGTGACATGTAAATTCAGAGCATACACAATAGGATTCAGCAACTACTGCTTGGCCAAGAGGTTAGGTTTGAAAGGGGTCTAGCTTAAATGAGGACTAGTGGCCAAATTCACTACCCTGTCACAGTTTAGTTCCAACTTACCAAAGTAATTTTATCTCAGTGATGATCAGTTGTAACCTGAAAAATTCTTCCTTTGACCATGAGATTTTATCTCAAAGGGAAATGCCATTTATACTGTTAGGGATAGAGCTATCACTTAGCAAAAGTGTAATGTCCTAAGTAGCCACTGTTCTCTCAGTTCTCCAGTCTACATGGCTCAGGATGTTTTTTGTTTTCTTTGCAGTTCTCAACTTTTCACCGTCCAAAATTTCTAGTAATAATAACATTGATGTTGATAATAAAAGTATATCACTAAGCCTAAGAAATCTGGGCTTATAGACATCCTGAAATTATTGCAGATTTTTGTGTATATGTGCATTTTCTGGATTGAGAATTAGAATCTTCCCTACTTCCCCGAAGGTCCTCTAAGCCAAACAAGGCCTCAGACCACTGACTATG